TCCAAAAGTCTACAGATTGTATTTTATTTATAAATGAAAATATTTCTGTAGACTTTTGGAGTCTTTGTTTTTATCCTTGTGGTATCGAAAATGGTATCGAGTATCGAATATTTTCCTTAGTATCGGTATCGAGTTGAAAAGTTTAGTATCGTGACAACCCTACTCTCGCCACATGAGGCCAGGCATTGTCGTGCACCAGGAGGAACCCAGGACCCACTGCACCAGCCTAGGGTCTGACAATGGGTGCAAGGATTTCATCTAATGGCAGTCAGGGTGCCGTTGTCTAGCCTGCATTGGTCTGTGCGTCCCTTCATGGATATACCTCCCCAGACCATCACTGACCAGCCACCAAACCGGTCATGCTGAACGATGTTACAGGAAGCATAACGTTCTCCACAGCTTCTCCAGCCCCTTTCATGTCTGTCACATGTGCTCAGGGTGAACCTGCTCTCATCTGTGATAAAGCACAGGGCGCCAGTGTCTGACTTGCCAATTCTGGTGTTCTGTGGTAAATGCCAATCGAACCACACGGTACTGAGCAGTGAGCACAGGGGCCACTAGAGGACGTCGGGCCCTCAGGCCACCCTCGTGAAGTTTGTTTCTGATTGTTTGGTTAGAGACATTCACAGCAGTGGCCTGCTGGAGGCCATTTTTTAGGGCTCTGGTGGTGCTCCTCCTGCTCCTCCTTGCACAAAGGAGCAGATACCGGTCCTGCTGATGGGTTGTAGACCTTCTACGGCCCTGTCCAGTTCTCCTGGAGTAACTGCCTGTCTCCTGGAATCTCCTCCATTCTCTTGAGATTGTGCTGGGAGACACAGCAAACCTTCTGGCAATGGCACGTATTGATGTGCCATCCTGGAGGAGTTGGACTGCCTGTGCAACCTCTGTAGGGTCCAGGTAGCGCCTAACAGTAGTGACAGTGACCCTAGCCAAATGCAAAACTGGTGAAAAAGAGTCAGAAAAGATGAGCAGTGGATAAAATGTCAGTGGCCTCCACCTGTACAACCATTCCTGTTTTGATGGTCGTCTCGTTGTTGCCCCTCTAGTGCACCTGTTGCTAATTTCATTAACACCAAAATAGCTGAAACTAATTAACAACCCCCTCTGCTACTTACATGACCAAATCAATATCCCAGATGTTTAATTAGCTTGATGGCATACTGTGATTACAAAGTGTTGCTTTAATTTTTTGATTAGTATATATAAACACACTTCTATCTATCTATCTATCTATCTATCTATCTATCTATCTATCTATCTATCTAT